CAGCATCAAGGTTGCCACAGTGCAGAGGAGGGGCTGCCTTACTCCCTGCTTTTTGCACACTGTGGAAAGGCAACAGACTGTGGGGAGTCAGAGACTCAAGTTGGTTCCCTCGTTTTTGCAGGATGGCTTGCCTTTTAACCTCTGAGTAAAGTGACTTTCTCTCTAAAATGAGGGGTTTGATGTCATTTATCTCTTGGGGCCTTCTACCATGGATATCTTAGGTTGTGAAAGGTAAGCCTTTAGCAAGAGAAAAAGTTATAGCTTAGGCCAAGGGACATGTCACCCTCTCTGGCCCCCTGAAGCTCAAATGCTCATTCCAGACAACTTGGGAGAGGTGGAAAGAAATGAGGGTTGGCTCCTCCCTCTTGAAACTCCCATTCCCACTCCTAAGAACCACTCTAAATTTTCTCTGAAGAAACTAGGAGAGATAAATCCCTTTCGCTTTCTACCCCACTGGCATCATCAAAGCCAATTTAGAGGGGTGGCCAGGAGCAGAAGTGAGTCCAATCTGCAAAGCACTATTTTGTCAGCACAACTTGGGAAACTTCTACTGGCTACTTCTTAAGAATATTTTCTGGAACTTCAGCCCAATTCGACTTAAATTTGACCTTAACATTGACTTCTTTGCCTCAACTATCCAACACGATACTGGACCCTTTTCAGGTATACTCACACTCCAACTAGCCATGAGTTCTCAGCTTACTGGTTTAGGGCTCCTCTCACAGAATAAACCTCTCTCCCCACAGAGTTCCCTCAGCCAGCTCCTAAAGCAGAAATTCTCAAAGTGTGGTTCCAAAAAAACTTGTTTTAGAGTCACCCAAGAGGTTTATTAAAAAAAAAAATAGACTCCTGAGTCAGAACTTTTGGATTAAAATCTCTGTGGGTAGGCTGAGGGACCTGCACTTTTAACAAGCTTCTATGGTGATTCCTACCCAGATGAAGTCATTTTGGGAGCAAATAAACTAAACCTATCCTTTAGCTAGTATCAGTCACAGAGAAGACACACCATTCTAGCTATTCTTTATTTCTGGCCAACACATATTTACTGAATGCCTACTGTGTGCTAGGCACAAGCTTGGCCCATGAGCCTCTCATTCACAAAGTTCTCAGGGAATAGCACAGAACTCTAAACTGCTTTCCAGGAGGAGGGTCATGTTATCAGACTCCTGATAGGTTTAAACTTTCTGTTCTTAGGATCCCTTTTATCTCTTCCTCCACCCTGGGAAAAGCCCTCCCCATTCTCCCATCCCTTCTATTCCAACAAGCATGCTTCGGTGCTGTGGAGTCAACAGTTTGCATGTGCTCATGTGTCTCCACGTGATAACATGGTGGGGCTTGTGGAGACAGGTTGCCAAGAGGCTTCTTAGGAACAACTGTAAACACACAGAAGACCAGACTGCCACCCTGCATCACTTCTGTCTGCAGAAAAGAAGCTTGTCATTGGAATGGGAGGGAAAAGTAGTCATGGGAGGTGAGCAGGGGGTGGCTGTTATTGTGAGCAGGATGGGAAAGATTTCAAAGCATCCCTACATCAAACACAACCTGACAATCAGGCCCCTCTGCTTTCACCTCCTGCTGAGAACTTTCAGCACCAAGACCCAGCAGGGCAAGTGACTCTCAGGAATTCATGACTTGAACAAGCAATAAAATCGGTAAGACATTTCTCCTATACTCTGCAAACATCTAGGAGACAAACTTTAAAGTTGTTCAAAATACCCTATATTGTCCTGGCTGGTGTGGCTCAGTTGGATGGAGCATTATCCCAAGCACCAGAAGGTCACAGGTTTGATTCCCAGTCAGGGCACACACCTGGAATGTGGGTTCGATCCCCAGTCAGGACATGAACAGGAGGCAACGGGTTGATGTATTTCTCTTACATCAATGTTTTTTTCTCTCTCGCCCTCCTTTTCTCTTTAGAAACTCCACAAAACTCTATATTCACATCTCTCTACACACATTTCCCCTAATAATATCTTCCAATTTCTCCTTAGAAAACTACAGACACAGATTCTTCTGGAGGAGATTTATAGTACAGCTAAGACCTGTGCCAGAAGTGAATCCCTTGGTCCTTTAGTTTGTGAATATTTCCCCTCAGCCTAATTCTCCCCTAACAAAATATTCTAACATAGTAGGTCTTTGGCAAATGTTTGTTGAATCTGAGACTGAGATTATTAGTTCTGACTGCTAATCTGGGTAAGTCAAGAACCAGTCCAGGAGTGGAGTTGACAACTCTGAATCCCAAGATGTAGAATATGCCAAAGACTGGGAGATTAAAGGGGGTAGAGGGAAGAATGAACAAAATGTACCCCCCTGTATGCAATTAGCAGGGAGTCTGAACAAATAGTGAACATCTCACCCACAGTTGTGAAAACAAAACAACTCAATTTTTAAAAGTCTCATTCTTTTTTAGGGTATTCCTTTCTCTCAGCAAAGCTCAATCTTCAAAATTTTGCTTCAGTGAAATAGTGCGGACAGCTCATGAATACATCAAAATAAATGTTTACTTGTGAGAGGGAGGACCCAACTTTTGCCCCAAGTTCTTAGCAGCAAAAACCTGGTCATTGTTTTAAGGAATGCTGCCAAAGCACCTAGGCTGCTTGTTTTTCCCTGAAACCTTAGAGAAAAGGCTCTAAATTTGATAGACTTTGGTTAGACTGGCCAGTCAGTCTAGGTTTTCTGTCCTTCATCCTGGGTTGAAGCCATCTGGACATCTTCAAAGAGGTTTATAAAGCCACCCTTCCTTCTTGACCCCCTGGGGCCTCTGGGCCTAACAGTTGTCATTTGATGAGTACAGGGATGTACTGAGAGAGGGCCTTATGGTTTTGAGATAGGAGTGTAAGAGCTAGGACATTATGCTGGTAAGAACTGGTTATTAAAGTCTAGACAGAGGTGGCTATGAGGGCACTGTGAACTGGGCAGCATGTGATTTGCTGATACTTTTGCATTAAGGGTGCAGAGGAAGGACAGTGAAGAAATGCACCTACATTTGAAGCCTGAGCTAGCAGTTTCTAACCAGGGTGATAGAGAAGCCTTTATTTTTCTCTTTTTAAAAACTATTTAGGAACTTTGTCATTTGATTGGCTACAAGAGAAAACTGAAGTAGCAACATCAAGTTTGAACGGGTATTTTCTATGAGCATAGGATTCTATTTTCAAGCACTCCAGCAGTGCAAGAATCCCAGACCCCTTTAGCTTTGAGGATTCTATTTTCAAGCACTCCAGCAGTGCAAGAATCCCAGACCCCTTTAGCTTTGAGCTGGTTCCTCTCTATCTACCTACTCTGCGCTATGACTCAACCCTCCCCTAGCTTGGCTCAACTTCAGCCTCACCAGCAGTAACCCTTTTGGTGTGGCTTTGTTTATGCACAAGTTCACATCCCTGTAAGGAACTGGCTCCCTGGACTGTAATGTCTCCTATTTTCCAGACTTCCTCAGAGTGGAATTTTAGGCAAGGGCTCAATAGCTCTTTCATAACAAGTGGATCAGTAAAACAATAATAAAACCTCGGTCACCATAACTCAGAGGCTGTAATAGATCAAGTTCTCAAAGGCACTTGAAAAGCCAAGAGTAGACTCTTGATTCACACAGTTTTAGGAAACGCCTTCTTTCATTACTGCTGTGTGTAAATAACATTTATTTGTTTAATTTGTTATTTTCCTACAACCTGAAAGAGGGAAACATTGAAAGAAATATTCAAGAAAGTTGGAAAGTTTGTCAGTGTAAATCCTGTCTTTGTAACCCTTCTACTCTTCACATTTCCTGTGCCAACTGCACTTTTATTTCCCGTCTCTCTACACTCAGTAAACAAAACCATATTATCAAGGGAAAGATATGAGCCCATTAACATTGTAAGCCCTCAGATTTCACTCGCAAGAGACAACGCAGCACTTATCTGATGGAACAGAAGCTTTAATTGCTTCGTGATACAAGCCTGTGCAAACCTCTGAGGTCTGACCCGTCCCTAGGAAGCCTTTGCGCCCTTGAGCCAAGTGCCCAGGAGAAAGCGTGCCCAGCACCAGTGCGTGTGCCAACCTCCCATATAGGAGCACAATGAGCATTCCACCACAAGGGCAGGTTCTTTATTTCCACAACCTAGTCAGAGGGGGAAATGAGTTAAACTCCCGAACAAGGCAGAAACTTTCTTCTGTCCAAATCAAAATCTGTCACTCCAACACTAGCACTTTTGTGGCCACAAATGGAAGGAATGAAGAAGCTGAAGGGAATACTGCGAAGTAATGTGAGATTCCAGTCTAAAAGTGAACATGTAGTGCCTCCCCAGGTATCCAACATTTACAGTATAAAATGTAGTCCTGTAAATCGGAGAAATGGGGAAAAAAATCAAACTTCTGCTCCAGGTTTAGGAGAGAAACACCATCAGGGCCAAGAAAACCAAACGTACAGAGAAAAAAAGAGGAATAACTGCATTCCCTGGAGAAAGGCCAGGGCCAGTCCCCACCGGCTGAGCTCCGCGCTCCCTTTTAAGCCCTTCCATAATGCGACACCTACAATCTGCACCTGAGCGACTAGCCAACCATGACCCAGAAAAGTCGCCCCCTCCATCCTCTCATCCTCACCAGAGAGGCCAGTCCTACCTTCCACCTCACACCTCATCCAATACCTGTCCAGGGATCAGGCGTCCCAGGCTCTCGCCCCGCGCCCTAACCCCGCCCTTACCCAGGCCGCCCCAGGGCCGTGCCGGCTCTACCCACTGCCGGGGGCCACTGGGTGGCGGCCTCCCGCAGGTTCGGCAAAGTTGGCGGTGGGGCAGGCGCGTGGAGGGAGTCCCAGGCCGTGCGGGGAAGGCGCCCATTGGCCGGCCAGCGCCACGTGGCCACTCCGGCCGCTATATTAGGCCACTATTTACCTCGGGTTCGCTCGCCATGGCTCCGTGAGGGCATCTAGGGTAGAGAAGAAAGGCGGAGCAGCACAGAGCGCGGCGGTCTTGCGGGCCCGCAGCCCCGCAGCCCCGCACCCCGCGCGCTCAGGTGGGAGGGCTGGAACCATGAGCTCCTACCTGGAGTACGTGTCCTGCGGCAGCACCGGAGGCGCTGGGGACCTGCTCAGCTTCGCGCCCAAGTTCCGCCACGCCGATGCCCGGCCGGTGGCCCTGCAGCCTGCCTTCCCACTGGGCAGTGGCGACGGCGCCTTCGTCAGCTGCCTGCCCCTGGCCGCCGCCGGACCCGCGCCTTCACCACCGACCACCCCCGCGCCGCCCCCTGCCGCGCCACCGTACGTGCCGTGTACTCTTGAAGGTGCCTACGAACCGGGCACCGCACCTGCCGCGGCTGGGGGCGCAGACTACGCCTTCCTGGGGCCTGGACCCGCGTACGACTTCCCGTGCGCGCTCGGGCGGCTGGCGGACGATGGCGGGGCGCACGTCCACTACGCCACCTCGGCCGTCTTCTCGGGCGGTAGCTCCTTGCTCCTCAGCGGTCAGGTGGATTACGCGGCCTTTGGCGAGCCCGGCCCCTTCCCGGCGTGTCTCAAAGAGCCCGCCGACGGCCACTCCGGGGCCTTCCAAACCGCGTCCCCGGCCCCTGGCGCCTACCCCAAGTCCGCCTCCCCAGCCTCCGGCCTCCCCGCCGCTTTCAGCACGTTCGAGTGGATGAAAGTGAAGAGGAACGCCACTAAGAAAAGTAAGTACTTGAGTCTTGGACAGACGCTCCTGAGGTTGGGGACAGAGCCTGCTCCGAGGAATTGCGCTAGGAGCACTTGTAGCTGTTCCTCTAGACGGCAGTTTGGGTTCCACGGAGGAAACGCGTTCCAAGGTGTTATTAAAGCAAGCGAATCCCAGTGACCGTGCCCCAAACACGCCCGAAACGTGTGCCAGGCATGGGGAAAATTGCAGGAAGATTGGGGGGGGGGGGCTCTTCCCATGGATCATTTCTCCAAGTTCAACTGTGCTCATAGGGATCCAGGAGGGCTGCGGTGTGGCTGTGATTTTAACTGTAGCCCCACTGCTCGCGGGTATTTGGTCTCGGCGTTCGCTGGCCTCTCTGACGCTCTGTCTTTACGTTGCAGGCAAACTCTCGGAGTGTGGGGCTGCTAGCCCCTGCAGCGCGATCCGCACGAATTTCAGCACCAAGCAACTGACAGAACTGGAGAAGGAGTTTCACTTCAATAAGTACTTAACTAGAGCCCGACGCATCGAGATAGCCAACTCCTTGCAGCTGAATGACACCCAAGTCAAAATCTGGTTCCAGAACCGCAGGATGAAACAGAAGAAAAGGGAGCGAGAAGGACTTTTGCCCCCCGCCACCCCTGTGGCTTCCCTCCAACTTACCCTCTCAGGCAAGAACCCGGGGAGCCCTTCTCATGCCCAAGAGCCCTCCTGAGGTTTAATCTGGAGGCTGAGGAAACTTGGCCTGCAGAAGTTATAGGCCAGCCCACCCCTGTCTAGACTCACTAGCTCGGTTTGGGATGGAGGTGGGCCTGGGCAGAAATCGAGGTTTCACTTGGGAAAGGAAGTATCTCAGTCGACTTCTGAGTTCCAGGCTGTAGGTATTAATTTGCGGCCTCTTAAGCCACTCATACGTGTATTATCTGTGTCTTATCAGGGAAACGGTACCCAGCTGCCAGCCCAACCCTGCTGCTATGTTGCCTTAGTAATATGCAATTCCTGGGTGCAGAATTGCAGTGCATTAGTTGAAGAGCTCTGCCAACCCCCTGATGTGCTCAAAAGAGCATCTACCCAAAGTTTTTCTGGTTTTAATTTAAAGGACAAGGCTACTGTATTCAGCTTCTTGAGATGACCAAAGCTAGTTAGGGCCTCTTTGATGTAGCTAAGCTGCTTCAATGGTGATCTTCACATTTGCACTCCAGTTTTGTTTTTCTTTAAGAAGCAGTTTCTACCTCTCCGTGTGCCTGAGTGAAGATACAATCGCTGTTTAGTTAGTAGCTGAACAAATCCACAAGGTGGGTACAGGTTAGAACCTGAACTACACCTTGATACCAGTTACTCAAACTTGAATGTAAATATATACAGTATGTATATTTTTAAAAAGGTTTGCTTGAAATGAACTTATATGACATTTAATGTCATAGCATGTAAAATGTTTGAACTTTTTAATAATAAAAATGACAGAATATGCTACTCTCTGCTTTTCCTTACTCTCATTTTGATTTCCTTTCAAGCTGATTCAGTTTCTTCTATTTGGAATTTCATGATTCTGTCATGGGAATTTGCTTAGGTTGATAACTTTAAAAAATAACACTTATTACAGGTTGTGTACACAAGTTTGAGACAATTATCTGAACAGTTTAAGGGAGAAAAAAATAACACTATTATGTCAAATATCTGAGTAACCTAGGAATTACTTCCTTACCTTAAATGCTCTAGTTTTATGGCAAATATGTAGACTGCACTGTGGGAATGTTGTAAAGCCAAGGAGACACTGAAGAGAGATGTGTTTTGTTTTTTTGCCTCCTGGTCTTACAAAAAAAAAAAAAAAAGAAGGGTCACCTGAAGACTTTCCTAGTTGATTAGTATTCTCTGAGAAAGGCAGCTGGTCATCAAAAGTTCTCAAATGTCTAAATTCCCATTTCCAAAGTCAAGTATTATAAAGAGGTTGGGAGAGGCCAGTAGTCAGAGCTTTCTACTTTCTGTAACCCAGATTGAGCATCTGGCCTTATAAGAGATAGCACAGAGGCGCCTTTCTGTTTTTGAAATTAAATACTTTCAAATGAAGTCATAGGAAGAAGTACAGTATACAGTTTGAAAGTTGGCATGAGGGTATGTGGTAAAAAAAAAAAACAACCTCTTCTCTAACCTTATTTCTACCCAGTTCCCCAGTTCCCATCATGAAGGCACCTGTGGTTGACCAAACTTTTATGTAACTTTACAGAAATATTATTTGAAAAAATGCAATGTTAAAACACAAAATCAAGGAGATACTTGGGACAATTGTCAGGGCAGGTCATTTTCCTCCCTATATAGATAGCTATAGCTATATCTTTAAGTTCTCTGTATAATTCAACTGAAAGACTTAAAGGCTCAAATCATCCAGATAAGAACCTCAGCTCTCCTTTTTTTGGCTAGGATTTCTAGATTCTAGAGTAGTGCCTCAAATCCAATAATTTAGAGGTCTAATGATTGTGGAGGATTACTTTCCTTATAAAACAGTAATATGATTAATTGTCTTAGAAGATTGAAATTATAATGCAATTCCTGTCCTTTGCATTCACAGTTTAATGGAGTTGAAATAAAAGTATCAGCTCTAACAAACTCGGCTCGTAAGGGGGAAAAGATACCACTTAGAAAGCAGATCTGTCAATATTATTCTTATGTTTTGCCATCTGTCCTTCACTACCTTGATGCTAATCAGATCTTGTTTGAAAACAACAGCCTCCCCTCTGAGCTCTGTAGCTATTTGAAAGGACATGTTAAAGGAGTTGTGATCAGTTTACAGCCAACTCTGAGTTTCCCCTGCAGTGGGGCTTTGACAAGACAATGTTTCCTTTTTGATAAGAGTTCAAGTGTACACCTAAACAAACAAACAAAAAATACCAACACTCTTGTTCCTTAATCTACCACCTTTTTCTTTGAGGAAGCTTTTTTTTTTTTTTTTTTTTTTTTTTTAAAGCTACTACTAGCACTTAGCCTTGATGGATGGCTTCCTTGATGAAGGTGGCTATTTTGACATACGTATAATGCTGTTCCATGAATCAGGACAATATTACCTATTTTTTGACCAACCCTAGGGATCTTTAAAAGCTTTCTTAATGTAGATCACTATATAGCTATATTCAGTATTAGGGAGAGTCCTGGCTGTAGATCGGGATGAACTAGATGACCTTTGGAGGTCCCTTTCAATATGAAAATGCTACAGAAACAATTCAGTGACTTCTGCATATTTTATTTTAGGCCTATCATTGGAAGAAAGAGAATTTCGTTCTAAGAAAGCAAATGCCATCCCCAGAATTATGATGATACTGTGTTTATACAGGAAAAGTGGACTTTAGAAATTATCAAATACATCTCATCAGTGGAGGTAACTATTCCATGTGGATTGTTTATAGACCAGTCCCCTTCTCATTATTCAGAACCTTGTGTTATTTTGAGTCAGATCTTCCATAAAATGTGATGGTTGCTACTCAAATTGTGCAACTGCTAAAACAATCCCATTTGTATTTAACAAGATTTTAAATGAAACATGCTAATTCACCCTCCAGCAACCCATTACGGGAATGAATACACAATGGACAGTTCTGGCTGTTGTGTAATTCAATGTCTTTTTGTCTTGACAGAATGACCGTGTGTCTATTTTTCTGCATTCAGGATAGTTGGGAGTGAGGAAAAAGAAATAAAGTATTTAATAGCATATAAAACTTCCATTACTTGCATAGTAGCAAAGAAAGGTTTTGTCGATGTAAAAACCCAAAGCGATGTCACCTAGATTCTCAAAAGATTAATTGTATGTGATTTATTCTGCCTCAATCTTATATATGGCAAGGCCCAAGACCAGAAGAGGTTATGTCTGATTATCATGTCATTAGAAAGGAGGGGGCAGGAGCAGGAGAGTTGCATTAGCTCTGATGTTCTTAATTATTTCTTCTGACCAAACAAATGCTCTATATTTGCTGAATATTGAATTTGAAAACCTCAGGACCTAATCAGTTTCACAGAGATGTTTAGTCTGACCACAGACCTCTCAACAAGAAAAATGCCCATTGTTAAAACTTTATTTGTGGTTTTAAAGTGAAACCATACTGGACATATCTCACAAATAATGATAAATCTCCATCTAAATAGAAATCAAGGTTTGACTTTTATAGCATATTTCCGGGGCATGAACATGCAACAAATATACAAAAATAGTTTTATTTAACATCTAACTTGTATCTGCTTAAGTTATACTTATTATTCAGAAATATAATCTCAATAGAAACTGGCTAAATTCCATAATGCACTAAGAGGAAAGAAATCCTAAATATCGATATGAAAAGGAATTCTATTACTTAGATTGTAAAGATTTAAACATTACCTCTTCCATTTCTAATAGTGCTATTGATATAATTTGGAAAGAATGGTCAAAGAGTGTACATTTGGACTTATAAATAACTAATAAAGCAGGTCACTTACACGTTTAGGCATTTCTAGAGGGCACTGGACTATTTGGCATATCCCATCCTTAGGGACTGTGTAGAAGCTAAACTACAATTTGATGGGTCCTCTTTAAGAAACAAAAATCATAAATACAAATTTGCTAGGGCACCTCCTAGGATCTAGAAGGGCCCAAGTTAGTGAAACTTAAGTTTCTTTGGGTTCATGGTAAATTCATCTCTGCCCCTTCTTGAAACCATTGCTCCAAAACCACTACCCAGCCACTGCCTGTAAGAGTGTAACAATGATCGATTTCCTCCAACATCTTCGAGTCACAATTATGTTTGATCTTCAAGTGCATTCAAAATCGATATTGTGGACAAGGGCAGGTTGGGGCTTTGTCCTACAATCTGAGTATCTCAGTCCCACTTTGGGCTACTTGATGGCCAAGTTACTTTACTGCCTTGGAATGGAAGCCCTCTCTCCCTGGTGGGCCTTTTCTGTGTGCTTCCTTCTCAATGACACAAACAGAAGAGAAATGCAGAGCTGGAGAGCCCACAGCTACACTCTTAGCTTCTAAGAATTTCCCAGAAGGATGGAATCACTGAGGCTGAGGTAAAGGATTGTGTGAAAAAGAACATTATTCTTTTTTTTTTTTTATGAATTTTTATTTATTTTTTTGTTACAGATATTTTACCTTTTTACCCCATGGGCACCCCCCACCCCACCCCCCCTCCACCCTGTCCCCGGCTTAGTTGTCCATGTCCATTGGTCATGCATACATGCATATAAGTTCTGTGGTTTATCTCTTCCCATCCCCCCACCCCCCATCCCCTCTTCTGAGGGATGTCAGTCTGTGCCCTATTTCCATGTGTCTGGGTCTACTGTATTCCTCAGACTGTTATGAAGAACATTATTCTTAAGGGAGGAAACCTGGATTTTAGCACCAGTTGTGTTTTCTGATTAAAAGGGAAAATAACTTCCCTGGTCTCAGTTTCTCCTTTTAAATGGTGAAATTGGTCTGGATGGTCATTAAGTTTTCTTATCACCTTAGTATTCTTCCATAATCCTTTACTCTGCTGTTTATTACTGAAGAGTATATTTAACAATATTGGAGCTCTATAATATTATCATCAACAAGAGGTGTTATTGGAGTAATGTTTGAGGCCTTTAAAATTTCATCTCTCTAGCTTTAGGATGTATATGTGTGTGTTTGTATGTGTGAGTTGGCAATGTTTCTCACTGGTCTTTAGTTGATGAACTGAAAAATCTAGCAATGCTCATTGCCCCCTC